CACCCCCCCCCCCCCCTCCCTCCCACGATGAACTTTTGAATCCGCTTGCTGTCCTTTCCCCGGGTGTAAATAGCCGAACGGAATTAGCACCGTCGTCACCCAGGGCAATGGCTATTACTTACCTGTATTCACCATTGGCAGTTGTTATCTTGTCAGAAAAAACAACTGTATAAACACAATGTATGGATAATGCCACCAACTGACAGATTAAGCACAATAGGTAATTCTTTTTGAACTCTTTGAAGCCCCATAGCAAAACAAGACACCCCGGTAGCCATGCAAACAGTGGCAGTAAAGCAGCAGATATTCCTGCAATACGTGTGATCCGTACGTTCGATGGAACACTGTAATTATTGTGGATCCATGCTACACACGAGTTAGTTGTATTCAAATCTACATAGACAAGTCCAACTATCAGCAACCCTAATATGAGAACAACAGCCATTATTAAACCGATATTTGCCTTACAACTTCGGATAAAAGATTCGCAGAAGTTTCGGCTGGGTTGCTGATCATCTTGCACCAAGACAGATATAATATCTTCTTCATTCGACGTGGGTTCATCTTGCTCGTACTCACGGTGTATTAAGCCATCGTATACTTCATCTTGTTCAGGATTTCTCTTAAATAAAGTGGATTCCCTTTGCGAATCTTCGCCGGATATCGACGGTATTTGGATAATCCAACTCGAAAAAAGGGCGACCAAACTACCAACTAGTTCTTCCAAAATCATAATCCTATTAAAAGAGAATGTATAGCTAACGTTTGCAAATAATTGATATATTCTCGTGTAGAGAACGCCAGTGAGAGATATTGTAGGTATCATTGGTGAAGCAGGAAGTTTATGTTGGATATATATAAGCTTCGCAAAACATATTTCCGAATTAACCTTATAAAGCAAGTATGCGGACATATTGCACTACAATTACTGCACCAGCGGGGAGCAGATGCCATTTTGCATTAGGTTTCTGGACGTCTGCCAATTTGAATATTATCAGGGAATGAATGCCTATCATAAGCGCACTGTCTAGTACCATGGCTCAGCGTTTTCATGACGAATTACGGTTACGTCAAAATCCGATACGAAAAACCAAGAAGTCGGGCTTCTGTTTAGTCCCTATTCTGTGATAAAATTATTGTGTTACCATGGCAACTACTTTAAATATTTCATGCACTGTTCGGAAAATACAAAG